CATTCTTCTCTCCAGTGCCTGGTAGCATTTGCTAAGGAAAGACAATATATCTGATATTAAGGAAAAAGTAACGTATTAAAGAGCTAAAATGGAAGATTTAAAAATATAGGACAGAATAAAAAGGCAAATATATTCAGAAGAATCTCATTTTTGAGCATATACTCTGCAGTCTGAGTGGCATAAGAAGGATTCATTGGACTATTCTTTTGGAGGAGAAAGAATAGACAGGAGGGGGTCAAGTCCATATCTTTCTCATGTTAAAACAATGTTTTTTTCCTTTCTCCCCTGGGTCTTAGGGAACATCTGGGCAGAACCTACAGGAACAGATACAAGAGGAGCGTTTGCCTGCTCGTGGCTTTCAGCAGATGCCACAGTGCTAATTTTTCATCCCACTACAACCACAGGGACACTGCAATATATAACATATAACTATAGCCTAAAATGACTGGTTTGCAGGCACACAACACTACAGTTGGCTGTCACCCATTGTCACAGGGACACAAGAAAATAATTCTCATTTTTGTTAATGCTCTAGGTATAAAAACAAGACTCAGCACCATTAATGTTCCCTCAGTCTCTCATCCCCACCTAGCTGGGATATCCTGCAGTATGCAGGCCAGGGATCAGATTTTCCAGAATGATCAACTCCTGCTCCTTGCTCTGCTTCATTCCTTACCCACACATAAGTAATCCTTTGCTGCTGAACAAAATTTGACCTGCTGGAAAGGAAAGGCCAAATTGCTCTTTGCGATACAAAATGTTGCGTTCGGTAATAATTCGCAAAATTAATTTGAAAACTCTTTCCTATTATAGAAATAGAGTTGTAAATTTTAAAAAGGGGCCACTAACTTTACAAGCATCTCTATTTTCAGTCTCTATAATTTAAATTTGGCACAATATCCCAGCCACTGTGACCTTTTAAAAGGTAGACCTTTTTACTTCACCTGGGATTTTTGGAGGAACTCTTAAAACATTGCTCTTTTAGGCATTAAGGATGAAATTGTTTAACCCCCTGGAGGGAACAGGATACTGTTTGCACACCTGAATGGATTTTTACACTGCTCAAGCCCATTATTAACTGTAAGGTATATGTGAAATAGGACAAGGCAGATATTTTGGGAGTGTGTAGAGTGATGGGGCAGTAACAAAATAATTAACTGGGCTGAATCCCACAGAGCAGTGTCTCAGATATTAACCCATCCAAGTGCCTGACACACACTGACAGCCTCATGGGCTTAAAGTGCTCCTCTGGAGTTAATGGAAGTGCTGTGCTGGATCACAGCCAGGCTGCTCAGCTTCTTCTGGGATCGTGTCCTGAAACAACAACCACCTGAAACAACAACCACCTGAAACAACAACCGCCTGAAACATCCCCTTCTTCCAACAAGATCTACAGAAATTCAGGAGAAGCTGCTGCCGAACCTGGCACAGCAACAAAGGGGTGTTTAGGCCTTTCCCAACACCAGAGAGGTGTGGATGTGTTGGAGTGAGCCCAAAGGAGGCCACCAAGTTGATCAGAGGGCTGGAACACCTCTCCTGTGAAGGCAGTCTGAGAGAGCTGGGGCTGTTCAGCCTGGGGAAGGGAAGGCTCTGGGAAGCTCAGAACCCCTTCCAGTGTTTAAACAGGGATTATGAGAAAGCTGCCAAGGGACTCTTTTATAAGAGAAGGTAGTGCTGGAACAAGGGAGAATGGCCTTCAGCTGAAGTAGGGCAGGTTTATGTTGGATATTAGGAAGAAATTCTTCCCTGTGAGGGTGGGGAGGACCTGGCACAGGTTGCCCAGAGAAGCTGTGGCTGCCCCATCCCTGGAAGTGTCCAAGGCCAGGTTGGGTGGGGTTTGGAGCTACCTGGGCTAGTGGAAGGTGTCCCTGCCCATGGCAGGGGGTAGAACTAGATGAGCTTTAAGGTCCCTTCCAATCCAAACCATTCTGGGATTCTATGATTCTTTCTAAAAAACTCAAATAAAGCCTGTTATTAAGTATTTTTAATAAGTGTTTAAGAACCCAGTCTCCAAAGAATAGACACAGTAAGCAGTACACAGAGTGTGTCATTGCTTAGGGGTAGATTCATAACGTTGTTTCTGAGGAAAAAAGTGGGAGAGATCGGTCAAGTGTTAAAAGATAAAACTCATCTTCAACAGACAGAGCTATGCTCAGCCATGGCTGAGATTGCCTTGCACTGAGGAAACAGATATCTGTTGGCACATATAAGACTTCTTGGAAATAGAAATATATAGAAATATAGAAATTTTCAACGTTGGAGAAGGATGCGTAAAATCACTAAACTTCTGTTGTATTGTAATCATATGTATCTTTAATAAGATTCAAAACACCAATTACTGCACTCTCTGGGGTACCCAGTGTTGAACCTACACAGGGTCCAGACTTTTGAGCAAATCCAGCTCTCCTGATTTCATTCCTTTCACTGTGTTAAATCAGGAATGAGTTTGGCCCCTGTGCTGACAGAGGAAGAGAACACATTGAAAACTTGGTTTAAATGAGCTACATCAACAGCACATGATAAATAAAGGCAGAGCTATTGTATGTAGAGATTATGCTGTCAGATGGAAACACAGAGTAGTAAATAAGCGTTTGTTTAATAAAAGGGAAAAACATGTTGAGAAAAAGGATCTTTAGAGAGAAGGAAACTGGCTGGGAAAACATGTCAATACCATAAGAACCCAGGCCTAAAGCAGCCAATCTCAGAGCAAAGAGAAGAAAATGCACTCTGAAATCAAACCTTCAGGTTTACTGAAGTTGAGCTTTCCACTTCAAAAGTTATCTTGTAGAATGTGCCTTCTCCTTTCAACTCTAATCCAAATCAATAGTATTGCAGCCTGTGGTATACAACTGGTATTAAAATACAATAACTAAGCACTTAAGGCAATAAACCAAATAAAGTGTCACTGGCTCAATTAATAGACACCTCTTACACTATTTCTTTTACATAGAGCATCTGTTTCTAAAAGGGCCTGGCATCATACATCTAAAGACAGATTTTTCCTGCCTTATTCATGGGCTAAGAATATCACCTAGCAAGGCAGAGGGAAGATTTCTGAGGTCATTAACATCTCTAAATAGTGAAAGGTTCAAACCCATGCCAAACCATAAAATATCTATATACATATATGTCTCTATGGAAACTATAAACTGTAAGAAGAATGTCTAAGACCAGAAAGAAAACTAGATAGTGCTGCCTCCTCACACCTATTTTATTTCTGTGCTAAAATCCCCAACATTTCAAGGGTACAGAGACCCTTTTACTGTCACTGACAACTGAATTTATAAACATTTCATTTATAAACATTCATTTCCACAGAAATAGGTACTAACAGTTCATTTGTGCCTAAGCAGACACACGAGGTTTTTAACATGCTTGCCCAAATTACCGAACTACTAAATCAAATAGGACATAAAATTATAGAAAGATTTCTTGACAAGAATTCTGTTGAAAGATATACAGAAAGATTGCTCCAAAAGAAGAAATCTCCAATTATGGAAATTCAAGTAGGTGGACTGTGGCTCTCATGAATTGCTATCAATATTCATTAATCCAATAAATTCCTATTTCTAAATACACCGAGTTGTCTTGGACATTGTTATGTCCAGGAAGGCTAAATAATACAGTATTTTAAACATATTTTAAGTATTGGTTGTCAGGAAACAGAGCATTAAAAACCTGTTCTAAAGTTTTATTCTAAGGGAATTAATTGCTTGATCAAAGTCACTTAATTGTCACCTCTGTACTAAAAAGGTTTGGATCAGGTTCTCCATAATACTTTTTAGGTGACTGAAACACTTGCCAAAGCATTTGACTGAAGTAATTATAACTATTGCCACTGATTAGTGAAAATTAATATTCCTCTTGGCAAAATTGTCATTGTTTCTAATTTCTTCTTCCCTTTTTTTTTTTAATAACCCTTCCCTGCCATGCTTTAATCTGGTGTTCACTTTGCTTTTATAATAATCATTCAAATAAATAGCAGTAATGTTTTTCAAAATAATCTCTTGTCAATTGCTAATATTAGGCCAGCAAAAAAAAAAATGTTGAAAAGGTAAAACCCCAAGGAAAAAAAAGCAAGACTTCTACAGCCTTCTACAAGAATTCTACAGGCTTTCCTTTTCTTTTTCCACAATTACCTTCAAATCAGCATCCCTCATGCTTACTTCTCATCTTTTGGGAATATTCCTTAAAAATCTGCAGAGCCCCAGAAAACTTTTACAGCAAAATCCAAACGAAGTAAAACTTTTGAAACTTTCCCATTCCCTCCAGGTACCAGAAGTAAAAAAAAAAATAAAAAAAAATAAATGTCAGACTAATAATAAATGTAGAGGAAGGAAGGGAACAGTGTGAGGAGGGCATGAAATTTGGCAGATGTTTTGCCTGAGTTGCTATGGCACTATTATTACATCCCCTGTAGTCAGGGAATACCTTTGGTTTGGGTTTTATCAGACTTTCCAGCATTCTTCAGTGGAATTCAATTTGCAGGGAAACAACTTTCAGTGCAAATTCTACCTGTAGGTTAAATTTAAAGCTTTCAGGACTAGGGTTTTAATTACAGAACTCCCAACACTTGCTGGCTCACAGGGGAAGTGCTGGAGACAGGGAAAAAACATGTTGCTTTCATCCCTGGTCCTGACCATGGAAGCCCTGAGCTAGAACGTAGGGAAAGAGAACTTGTTATTTTCCCCTATAGGAGAAAAAGGAGAAAGTTACCACCAGCAAATTTATTTTACAGTTTTTCACCCTGCCAGCCAACCTCTGAATGGCATCCCTTGACACAAATTGTTACCTGGTGGTTGCACTTTGATTTGGAAACGATGCATACAGATTTACTGAGGTAAAAAACCAGAAAAGAGCAGCTCCGGGAAAGTCTGTCACACTGAGCTAAAAACACGTCTGGAAGTCTTTCCTTTCCTTAAGGAACAGTTTTATATTTAGAAACGAGTTAATTACAATTGCTTGCACCGTTCTGTAGAGCACAGATGGCAAACTCTTACCTCCTTCTTGGTAAATTCTGGTGGATGGTCATTTTTGTCGTCAATAAGAATAGTGGCAGTTGCTGTGCCAGTCAGTCCCACATCAAGACCCCCCATATCCTTGGCTTCTATAACCAGCTCGTATTTTGGGCTTTCCATAGTCTGAAAAAAAAAAGAACAGAAAAAGAAGGGTTAAAAAAAAAAAACCCTCACACAAATAACATACTACTTTTAATTCATATTAAAATAATAAATTTAAAAATTCTCAAACTTTATTTGGCCCGATAAAACACAGCATAGAAACAGATCTGTTATCACAGTGTTTTACCAAAACAGCAGCACAGCTTTGCAGGAGCTTCAGCTGCTATTCTGCAGCCCTTATTTGCAATACAGCATGAAGGTGAATATTGGTAAACAGTACCTAATTTATCCTGTTATTTAAGAAGATTAGGAAAGAGGCAAGAAATTAAAATATCCTTGCTCTTTACAAGTAAGCTCTACCTTCAGTGCACCAATATTTAGCAGCTTGCTTCATCAGTGTTATGATGGGTACGTAATTAAATACTAATGTCACAATCTACATATAAATTCGCTCTATTAAATCCCATTCATTCTGTGTATTAGCATTTAGACTGGTAATCTAAGTTTGCTTCACTGGAAGAAACAAAAAAGCAGTTTCTAAAATGGGCAGGGACTGGCAGTTGTTGCCCAAAGCAAACGCACAGAGTAACATCAGTGGCTGACATGGAAGATCTCTGATTCTGGTACCATGGGTACCTGCCTGGCTGCCTCCCTGCTGTGGAACCAGACAGCACAGGGCCAGAGCAAAAGCCACCCTTAATTTCCTCCCCCCAAAACAGCCTTAGCTTGGAAAAAAATAAAAACACCTGTGGTCCCCATTCTGCAATGGGAATGTGACAGCATTTGGAATTCTCCTCCCTCACATCAGAGATCAAAGCACATCTGTTTGCAAGTTGGACCGTGGGTCAGTAACAGCTCCACCAAAGGGGGCATTTATCAGCATCAGAACCTGCTCCCATGGAACTCAAAGGGAGTGTTGACATGGATTCACTGGAGACAAGGCTGGGCACCTCATTAAAATGGATTTTGTATGGCTGCCTCATATGGGACCATCTGCCCTAAGGTCACGTGTGCTGCACCATCAGCAGAGAGCACAGCTGGGAAGTGCTGCAGTCACCTTCAAAACTGCACAGTAAGAACATCTCATATACTCAGGAATGTTTATTCAAACCTCCCCTGAACAACAAAACCTCCTCTGGATCCTTGGGGTGAAGTGACAGAATGATGTCAGAGCAGATCCCTGAGCCAACTGTGTCTGCAAGAACCAGGATGCACATCTTTGACATCACTCATCCTGTGTCCTTTATCTAACACTTTTCCAGGGAATTAGCGGGGAGACAGCTCAGCAAAGCGACCTCTCAGGTCACACAATCTCTGTGGCCAAGTGGTTTGAAAGCATTCCCTAAATAGTGCATTCTGCATCATGTGTTTTCCTGGCCCCATCACACCATCTTTTTTTGGAGCATGTGTAAGAAGAAGATCCCAACTCCTCAGATTTTGAAGCATTTTTAGGCCATGAGAAAAGCAACCCCACCAGTTGCTCATCAGATCAGCTATTATGAAGCAGTATATTTACATGTAAAATCAATAAGTCAAGCTAGAAGATATATTTTGTTCTAAAGACGTATGGACTACTAGAAAATCAGATGCCACTGCCACACATGGGATCCTAAAAAATGTATTTCCCTAAGTCTTGCAACATTATTTCATGAAATTGATCTCAGAAGGCAGCAAACCAAGAACAGGAATTTGATTTATAACATCATAAAAATACACGCAAAGAAATATTGCGGACATGTCTCCAACACAAACTCACATTACGGAGTGGAACAAAATTTACTGTTTTCATATATTTATTTTCTAAAATGCATTCAATGTATTAAAACCTCAATGAAGCTCCTCTCCCCTCCCTTACCTGCAACTTTTACATTGATTAGGAAATTGTTATTATTGTATGGAAAACTTGCAAAGCCATTTATCACTTCATGTTTATAAGTATCTTTGCTCAGAAAGAGGCCCATTTTTACTCACAAATTGGCCTTTTTTCCTTTGAAAACTGTCCCATTTTCTACTGAAAGCCAGCCCATTTATTCTAGAAATTGCATGTACTGCAGCAGAAATGTCTGTGACAGAAGTCCAATGTTCAAGCTCTCAATGAAATGTGGAAAACCTTGAATTTTGAGTAGTACTTCATATCATTACTGATACTTCACACTTCCCTGCTATGCAGCACTTCCTACGTCTAGTGCTGTCCCCAAATATTTGCTTTGTTAGAGAAAGCAGCTCCTCACAGACCCAAACCCCAGAGCAGAGGCAGGTTCCCATCAGATGCTCTCTTCACACCAGGAGATACCATGTAAAGGAGTTTTTAGCAATTCTTGTACTTTTAGCCCAGCTAATTCAGGCACTCGGAGCAATTATTTGGGTCTGTGTGATTTCCCAGGGTGCTGGTAAATCCCAGGATCTGTGGACAGAGCCTGGATCCCTGTGCTCCCACCAACCCCCTCCCTCAGCTGATGCCTCAGTGGAGGGTCTGTGCTGGGCCCTCCCCCGGGGCTGGGGCTGCACTAAAAGCTCTCATGGCACCTCCTCATCTTTTCCCTTTTCCCAAGGCTCAAACCTTTTACGCCAGCACGGTCTTTTCCCTGTTTCTGCTCCCATCCTGTGAGGAATGAGTGCTCCTGGATGGGGGCAGTGGAGCCTTCCTTCACTTTCTCCATCCCTGCCATCTCCATCCTCTCCTCTCCCTGCAGGGGAGGGATAAATGCAGCACCCAAAACTGGCAGCATTTGGGACCCCCCCTGTGGCTCAGACTCTTGTCCCACCTTGTCACTGCCTATCACTTAACCCAGACCTGTTGCTAAGTGACCTAAACTCTGAAGCACACTCCTACAAAAACAATCCAGTACCATTTGGATAGTGAGATATTGGCCATAGAAATACACCCCAACCCTCAATGAGTGGGATCTACAGCTAAAAAGGAAAATAGATTATTTTAATTAATGAACATCAAGTCACTGTTTGTGCGGCTTATTATTTATCAACCGTGACTTGGTGGAGTGTAACACTGTTGGGAGGGTTTGTATAATTACAGCAGGAGAGCCATTCCTTTCCCCATAAATTTTCACTCTTGTCATTTAGCCATGGCAGGGGTGACCCTTCCAAAATGTGTGCTTTGCCAAGGAGGTGAGCTGTGTCCTGAGTGCTTTGCTTCAAATGTCCACCCACTGCCATTCCCACCAGTGTTAACATTCCGACCAGATTTCCCTCCCCTGCTGCCCTGACATAACTGGTTCAGCACCAGAAAACAAGGAGAGGCCAGAAAAGGCACTTTTCCAGGGTTCAGTTTCCTGCCAAAGCCAGCAGGATCTAATCCCAACAGAGGGAAATAGTTCAGTGCAGACACACACAGGGGGAACAAACCCAGGGAGTTCTTTCAGGTAATGCTGAATGAAAATAGACGATGATGGTTTTCTGCTGGGTTTGAATCTTCTAATATTTCCTACAGATACAATAAAAAACTATCAGTGACTGAAGAGAAGCAAGCCCTGGCTAGTATTTCACACCACCAGCAGCAACAGTCCAAGCCTAAGTCTTGGTTCTGGCTATCACCTGTAGGCTGTAGGATTTATTTTTAAATTCCACTGGAATTTACATCATTGTCAGCACAGTGGGACCCAAAATGCAAGATGGAAACCAGTGGAACTACTTGGATGATTACAAGTCTGTCAACAGCAGGACTCCAGAACCCATCTCTCCAGAGTTCCCTCCTGGCTGGGTGTCCCCTGTGAAGCATCTAACACAAGGTTTTCCTGCAGTGCTCTCCTGTCACTGTGAGACACTCAGGAATTGCACATCTCAAAGAGGGCACACGCAGTGTCACAGCACCCAAACCTTCATTTAGTGCTCAATCCTCATCCAAAAAATAACTTGGGGAGAATAGAAATTCCCAAATTCACAGAAAGTGCTCAGTTGCTAAGATCAAAACAATGTTTGGGAAGCAAATAACATACAGAACATTCAAAATCCTTACAAGGGTTTCAAGTATCCTTTCAGACCTATCTTAATATTAATTATCAATGAAGAGTTTTCTTACTATTTCGTGGATATTAGTATTTCTGTAGTGATGCAAAAATGCCTCAACACTTCTATTTATAATTCTGTTTATAAATTATGTATTCATGCATAATACTGTATCAGTGGTGTGCTGCCATATCATATTTGTACTAATGACTTTATAATATAATGCTAACCGGAAAGAAAATTTCTTAGGATTTAAATATTTTCAGTGCATGCTAAATAAATGCTTGTGTTCATTTAAGATGATAATTGCATATAATGCATACTGAATGTGTCCTATTAAGACATAATCAATGTTCTTGCTGAGTAACAATCTCAATATTGAATCTAACATTATCCCAGAGTATGCTTGTCAGGATTTTGACAAATGTAAAATTAAAAAATGAAGTAATGTGACTACTAACAGCTCTAACAGATATAATGCTTTGATAATTATAATATCAGCATTTATTTTATATGCCAATTGCCGCTGCATAAAAAGGGCAATATGCACAGAGGCTTTGCATTTAGAGCTTGAATTACAGTTTGATGAATACAAAACCCCAAACAATTTTGTAACATAAATCCTCTTTAGCTCACCAATTTCCAAATTTTTTTTTTATATCGTAAAGGAAGGTCTACAGTTTAATCACTCTGTAATAATGTACTTCTGTTATGAAGAAAATCAATATCTATTTACTACCCATGGGAGACATAGGTACGTCTGGAAGGAAAAAGAAGACTAAATTTTCTCCTTCAGCAGCAGCCATTAAATAAAAAAAAGAGAAATTGCTCTAAAGTGCTTGTTACAAATAGGTTCCCTGGCCAGAGATATTTGTTTTCCATCATGAGGAAATCTGTAACTATTTAATACATAGGATGTACAGAATCAGGACTTTCATTCTTCCTAATGCTGACATAACTGTAGGACTGGTGTATGTGGTTATTAATGTTACATGGAAATACAGGAACTGTTTCCAGTAGTCTGTGTAAAATTACCAGTTTTGACTGGCACACAAATT